GCCCCGTGGAGACCAGCTCCATGGCGAGGGGTTCAATGGGATTTGAACCATCCAAAATGGTTGTTTTTATGGTGCTTCAATGGGCTGGAAAATGGTGGTTTAATGGTTTTTTTTAATGGTGATTTATTGGGATGTTTTGCATGAACAAATAGAGATTTTATTGGACTTGAATTATGATACATGGTGTTTTATGTCATGGTAAGATAATATGATAGTATTAGGATATGGTTGTTGACAATACTATATTGGTGTTCATTTGCTGAGTCGATTTTTGCCTATTTTACCAATGGAAAATCCACTACGACCGGGGGTTTCTTAAGTCATGGCAGATCCCCATAGCAAAACCATGATTGTTTCAATCCTAAGTCATGGTCATCCATGACTTGGATGATTCTGGGCACCCCCATGACTTAGGAAACCTCCATACAAGTGCTCGGGTAATGTTAGTAAAATCAATAATCAATCACATTAATAGTTTCTAGTATTTATTACTATCAATTACTATTCCCACATGCCATATTCCATATACATTTGTGGGTTTTGCTGGCTCCTTTAGGGAACAGCCATCCAAGGTACAGTGGAGGTCCTGTTGGAGGATGGCTGTCAGAAACTGCGCTGGCTTTCATGTGAGCAGTGATCAAAAATATCTGGTTGATTGGAAAGAATAGGGATGTTATTCTGCTTGATTTACTGATAGCTACTGGTGATTGTTATGTCATGGAAATCCTTACTATAGCAAAACAAACAATTAGAAGGGCATGACAGAGGGTCTTGATTGCTGCTCATTTACCGATTGATGCCCCAATTTTGACCCATACCGATACCCATGTGGTAAACCCAATCAGAAAATCGAGGAGGCTGGGACGGTGTGGTTGATACGATCCCCAAATGGTAGGCATACGTATCCTCGACCATTGGTTTGCCACATTATTTTTCTTATTTTTCCGTTTCGCTTTCCAGAACCAATGAGGATTCTATTGTACCACAGTAAAACAAGGTCAGAAGCTATAGAATCCTACAGATATCCTACAGTTCTAATTATAGCTTACAACAGGTAGAAATGTCTATAGCTTATAGAACTGCAGGTTGGAGTTGTTTCTCTTCATTTGCAAGTTCCCCACAAGAAATTAGATGATCTCACTTGATTCCTACAAGGTAGCGCCCCCTAGTTATGCCCCATTGTATATATTATAATATGATATATTATGAAATTATTTATGTATGTATGTATATATATATATTATGGTTATATGTATATATATATACATATACATACATATATATATGTACATCATTTAATAAAACCAGTTTTACAGATGATATTCATATTTGCCAACCATTTATCAATTTACCGACTCGATGTTTTTGGTGGCCCAGGAAATGCCTGGGAAGACCTGGGCTGATGGCCATTGGCTCGGCTCATGCCTTCATCTGGCCGCAGCCCGCGAACATCAGCCGAGCCGTTGGCCGCCCGCGCTTGAGGGTGGAATTCCAGAAGCACAAGGCCGAGCCGTGGACCACGGTGATTTCAATGAGGGATTCAGAAGCCTTATAAGGCCAGTAAATGGGATGTAGTAAGATACGGGAGAATATGGATTAGTGTGGGATAAAAGTGTCATAGTGAATCATTGTGTGATAATAATGTAACAAACAATCCTCAGAATAGAGGTTTAGGAACTTGCGTATGCTCCCCAAATGAGATGGTTTATCACTGGCTTTAGCAGATTTAGCAGATTAGTATAAATGATGGAAAAAAAGTAGGCATGATGCAGCCATAAGCAGCATTCAAGCATACATGAAACGATGATGTATATATATATATATATATACAATAAATCTGGATGAATTATTATGACGTCATGTCGTGACGTCGCTGGAATGATGGTTTGGTTACTAAGGGGAATCATCCCCAAATGGCCGCACTTTTTGAGCTAGGTTTCGGCTTAGTGAATTATTCATTACTGCAATTCAGCAAGGCACATGATGAATAAGCCTAATCATGAGTAAGCGACCATAAACATCATTCAGCGATATAGAATTGGCTTGTGGGCTTTCATATATGTCAGATGATCCCAACTGGAAGTGCAGGGGCTGCTAGGACATGTGGATAGAGTCAGGCAAACAAATATCAGATGGTTTAATCATGTTTAGTGCCAAAAAGGGTCTCCATCAATGGGAGCCCCCAACCGTTGCAACCACTTGACCACAACCAAACTCCAGCCCAAACTCGCAGAGGCAGTTGGAGAGTTCTTCCAATGGCTTCCCAGCGCCAAACGCCCCGCGCAACTGCCCGGTGGCGGCGTTGCGGAGTGGCTGCTGCCGCTGGATCTTCCAACACCATTGCCCTCGATGCAAGTGGAGCTGGAGGTCGGCAGCATTGGGACGGTGGGCACTCCGTTGAAGGTGGAGGTGTGCCTGAAAAATGCAACGTTTTCGGAGGAAGAGATCAGGGTGCGGATTCTGCAGGAAGGTGACTTGGGATGCACTCGAATTTGTTGAAGAGTTCCCGTCTTTGAGTTGGGGATGGGTCAATTTGTTTATCGTTTACGAGTGTTTAGCATCCGCATCCAATTTTATATTCTGGGAGTTGTTTTTTTGCAAGTGGACAGGTAGATAGATGGATATAGATGGATAAATAGTCATCCATGATCCAATGCTCGGACTACGTACCCAGTCTCCGAATTTTTGACCCTCAATATCTATATTCAAATTTTAATAGTTTTGGTTCTCACCAAGTGCCCTGCTTATTAAACATATTGGCCTGGAAACTCAGAAACAAACATGAGAACCACCCACGAATAGATCCCACACTTATCACCTATCACTTGATCCTTTTTTTTGGCACCACAGTCCTAAGTTCTCCACATGTAAACCCCCAAGGTTTCGCAGACTGAGTCTCAGGCAAAATCTGCAGAAACCTCTATTTATATATGGTTTTCTTCAGCTTTGCCTTGAAACCAACCCATTGAAGTTTGGATCTCCAGGTGCTCCGGACCAAGGCGATGTCTCAGATCGCTACCTGTTCTCCGGCCCCGCGAGTTCTCAAGCCTCGCCCCTCAGCCTGGCGCCCGACGTGTCGCCGGAGTCTCCGGTGCTGCAGCCCTTCTGCTTGATTCCTTTGAAGCCCGGCTGGGTGTCTCTGCCCAAGGTTCAAGTCCTTTGGGCCAACCAGGACGCTTCAAGTTGGGATGGATTTGCGCCAAAGATGTGGGAACTACGCTTCTAAGCATTGGAATTTTGGTGATTTGCAGGGGTTAGCCCCCTTGCATTGCTGTCAGTTTTTTGGGGAATGTGTTGAAACTTGAACAATCACCAGCTATTAGGTGGTGAAGAAGTGCATGATACTGGGAAGTTAGCCCCGAACCCCATCCAGAAGGTGATCTGTTTGGTGCTTTCGGATCCTAAATGGCTTGTCAAGCCATAGCAACGAGGCAGTCCGTGGTGCATGTCATAGAGTACTTCTGAGCAGACTTCCGTTATCTCACCATTAAGTCACCATGGCGAAAAAAACAAGACTTGGTTGGTTGATATCATACTAATTACATCTTTGATTTTCGATGCCCTGTTATCAAATCCCGCTGAAACCCACAGTAAATCACCCTAAATAAACCACCATTCCATCACTAAAAATCTAGAATCTCAATCCCGTGAAATCACCTATCAACAATCCCCATGAAAATCCCATTAAATCAATGGGAATTTCTGGATCCTAAAATGGAGGTACCTACCATATATAAGGCCTATTTATAAGGCCTATGTAAGGGAATATCACCACAAAATATGGCGTTATATGGTACAGTACCTCCATTTTAGGATCCTGAAATTCCCATTGATTAAAGAATCACAGCTCGCCCCGCAGGAGGCCACCAGCTCCTCCAGCTCCGTCTTCGTGGCGCCACGCGGCGCGCCAGCGGTGCACCGCACGACGGCGTGAAAAGAGATTGGTTTTTTGCTCATGGCTTGGGGATATAACGTGCTACATACGCGCGTATGTTATATTATAATACATTATATGATATTTGTTTGTCGTTTGCACACTGAATTATATATTATATTTATATATATGTATATTTGTATGGCATACAGTTGTATATATATATATATATAAAACTGTATATGTGGTATACATGTTTATATGATCTGATATATACATATAAGTATGAATGATGACATATACATATAGCACATTTAAATGATGACAACGCCTAGGCATGATTTAAAAAAAAAACACAAACATGTCCGGATACTTTTGTTAAAATACCAGATACATAATTAAGTTAAGTATCACACCTGTTATGGGGTGTGGAACGTCGCCACTTAGCGGACTCCAAGAATGCTCAACAGGAGCCACCAAAGTACACATTTGATGATTTTGATGGACATATAGCAGGTTGGACCGGCAGAAATGAAACTTATAATGATACTGGATATTTAACCATCAACAGCTGGGATCTAACCACTTAATCAGGGGTATCCAATCGTTTCTGCAGAGAAAACCCATCGGTTTTGCTTGTGACCCTCCATGGCAATGGAAAATCCAGCACTTATACATAAATAAAAATGATGTTCCCATTCAAGCATTATTTGCAGAGGATTTTCAACAGCCACCTTTGCAGATAGTAATTTTCCATTGACTATCCCAATCTATCCCATGATTTTGGCGTAGTTACATATAATAACTATATAAATGAACCACATAAATCACACCATATATCATGGGGAAGTCCCTTAATCACACATAAATCATGATTATCACCCAAAATGTCTTCATCACATATATCATATATGATAAATCAATGATCATATTCCATAAATCAAATTTTCCCTGGTTGGTGCTTTGGAACATTTTTATCTTCCATATATTGGGAATAATCATCCCAACTGACTTTCACATTTTTCAGAGGAGTTGAAACCACCAAGCAGAAATGTTTGGGGTACAATCCACCTATTCCTGCTCAAATCATTTTACTGTAAATTCAAAAAAACTCTTGATCAAGTGAATCAAGCTCCAATTGTTGATGTTGTGTTTGATAAATCCCACAATTCCACAACTGTTGATCAATTCCCAACACTCCCCAATTGTGGATGTTTGGGGTACAATCCCCGCGTTTTTTCGACGTTTCTCGAGGCCAACCTGTCTGGTTGCCTCCGACAGTCCCTGTCTCAGAGCGGCCTTTGCCTCGCGGCCTCTGGGGAGGTCACTGATCTCGACCACCGTTTGACCAGTTATTTAGGCAATCTTTACATATTTAACTAAGTCTAGTTACTTAATGTTACTTAGTATATTTTTCAGTCACTATATCTATAATATACTAATATACATAAGTCAATATTTAGTATATTATATATATAATATTACGGATATAGTAGCGTGATTAGATGTCATTATTTTATATCAACGTGTTTAATCCATGTGATGTCATGTAATATCATAAACATCTAGACTTTTCACTATACATATGTACATGTATACATATATACGTGTATATATATATATATATGTACGTATATATATATATATATGTAAACGTATTATATATATACACGTCTACATATGTACAGTATGTATGTAGGTAATGTGTATATATATATAATGTCATTTGATGTTATTTAATATAATGTACTAATGTGCTATAACGGTCTGTGCTGTAATGCATTGTAATGTACGCATGTATGCATATATTGGTGATTCTCCATTGCAGGACCATCCAACCTTTTACAACGGGACTTTGAGGTGACAGATTGCTGATGTCCGACAAGGAAGCCAAACGCTTGAGGCGCCAAATCAGGTGGTTCTTAAGCTGCTCAGTTTGAGAAACGATGTGGAAAAGCCATCGTTTTTGGATCATTTCCCGAGGAAAATCATCTACAAGTGGTGTTGTTGTCCACATCATCTATGATAGTTTACTGGAGGATAACACAAAGCGCCTATTTAAAAATAAACGAAACATAGGAACAATGTCACCTAACCTCCCAAATATATATTGACAATGGTCATATAATCATTTGTAATCATCAACCCAACCAGCTAGAAATCGATATAATTTGTTACAGGGTATCCAATATTGGCTATGTATCAGTCACTCCGATCATTGGATGGCTGAAGGCGCGACCTCAAAAACAACGCCATCACCACACATGATGCTTTTTAGAGGGATAATGCCCCAAATTCCCCAAACAAGTCAATGATCATGAGATCATCTAAATCCATCACCTGTTGGTGAGATCAAAATACCATTTGTTGATTACCCACACGTGTATACAATGATCAGCCACATATTCATGTCACATCAATTTTTACAATGCTTCATATTAAATATATTACACAGCGTCATAGAGCATGCATTTGTTCATCCGGTGATTTGAGTAATAGATGCTTTGGATATCATCATCCAAAATACAAAGTTGAAAGCATGCAGCATGGACGTCCTTTTCCAATTTGTCGGTTCATGAATAGTCCCCCCTCCCAGCCCCTCCCAATAGTGATGATCAATGCTAGGCCAAACCGGCCCTTCTCCGCTCAGGGGCCTGTTGCAGGCCAGGTGCGGTGACAAGAACCTCAAGGCGGACTGCCCAGCTCTATGGCTGGTGGGGCTGACGGATGACACCGACTTGCAGCAGTCATTTGTGAGTTATTCAAAGAGTGCGTGTTTGTGTGTGACAATCTGTGACAATCTGTGACAGTTTCTTTGCAAAACTACCGTAGATGGACGAAATATTCAAACCCCTTCTATCCGGTACAACCCCCTCGCCCCCAAAGTTCAATGTTATTGTAACCTGAAGTGCGTTAGCCCCAATGGACGAAAAAAATCAAACCCCTAACATCACTTTGGCTAACACGCGCGCTGAAACATTGAGATTTGGGGGTGCGGGGGTTCAACGTAGTGCATGCTGCAGGGTTTGAATATTTTGTCCATCTACTGTCTCGTTCTCTGATGTTTTCACATCTTTTGGTCTCCAAACTCTGTTGTGGAAACATCAATGTGCATGCTGCTGATCTTCTTCCAAACTGCGCAAAACATTGGCTTTTCACAAGTAAATGCCTCCTGTCTGTCTCCCGTCCCATTTTTTCTATTCCCTAATTCGCAACTTATTCCTACGTGCACAAAACATTGTGTTTTCACAGGTAAGTGCAACCTTTGTGCTTCCCGTCCGATTTTTTTCTATTCGCTAATTCGCAACTTATTCCAAACTGCAAAAAACATTGTGTTTTCATGGATAAATGCTGCATGTGTCTCTCGTCCCATTTTTTCCTATTCCCTAATTCGCAACTTATTCCAACATGCGCAAAACATTGTGTTTTCACGGGTAGATGTGCATGTCTCTCTCGTCCCATTTTTTCCTATTCCCTAATTCAGGACTTATTCGTTTGACGTGGCCCTGCCAATGGATTTTGCAACTTGAACAGCATGAGACAGCTCCTAATTAAAAATAGGAAATATTTTTCTCTTAAAAAGAAGCAGCACGTCACACATGACAAAATCCATTGGCAGGGCCACGTCAAACGAATAAGTCCTGAATTAGGGAATAGGAAAAAATGGGACGAGAGAGACATGCACATCTACCCGTGAAAACACAATGTTTTGTGCACTCAGGAATAAGTTGTGAATTAGGGAATAGGAAAAAATGGGACGAGAGACACATGCAGCATTTACCCGTGAAAACACAATGTTTTTTGCAGTTTGGAATAAGTTGCGAATTAGGGAATAGAAAAAATGGGACGGGAAGCACAAAGGTTGCACTTACCTGTGAAAACACAATGTTTTGTGTACTTAGGAATAAGTTGCGAATTAGGGAATAGACAAAAATGGGACGGGAGACAGACAGGAGGCATTTACTTGTGAAAAGCCAATGCCTTGCTCAGTTTGGAAGAAGATCAGCAGCACGCACATTGATGTTTCCACAACAGAGTTTGGAGACCAAAAGATGTGAAAACATCAGAGAGCGAGACGGTACCAACTGGGGTGTACTGGGGTGTGCGGCATGCCGCACACCCCAGTTGGTACCGTAGATGGACGAAATATTCAAACCCCTTCTATCCGGTACAACCCCCTCGCCCCCAAAGTTCAATGTTATTGTAACCTGAAGTGCGTTAGCCCCAATGGACGAAAAAAAATCAAACCCCTAACATCACTTTTGCTAACACGCGCGCTGAAACATTGAGATTTGGGG